AGGAAAAGGATGTCATGGACTGTCCGGGCGGTTTCGAGCCTACCCATCCCACACAGCCCACCACCGTACCAACTACAGCACCCACCACTCCACCCACACCAGCGCCCACTACCAAACCCACACCACCTGAGCCGACCACTGGGACGACCACTTCCGTCGAGTACTGGTGCTCGAAGGACGGGTATATGGCTCATCCCAGTGACCCCCACGAGTACTTCCAGTGCGAGTGGATACCTGGCCAGGGCTGGTATTTACATTTGGAGCACTGCCCTGCTGATACCAAGTGGGTACAGGCGCATAAACAGTGCGATGGTTAAATTTTGTTTAAATTTTAATATAGTAGATATAGTAGTTTAAATAACAATGATATAATTGAATGCAATTTTTATATGTAAAGACTCATTGTGTAAATAATCATAATTTAAAACAAATTTTTGTATTATATAGCAAAGAAAATTAATTTCTAGTTTTAGTTAATAAAGCATTTTTAAACATAAAATTTTAGAATATTTTATTTTTTATTAATTCACAATTTTAATTGTTTACAAAAGTTTTATTAAAAGTATAAGTAAAAGTTTTATTTTATGGCAAAACTATTATGATATTAATGTAATAATTATGGCATGATATAAATTTCTTTAAAATGAATAAAAAAATTTAATACAAATCTTGGTTATTGTTTACTTACTTATAAACCTTTTATCATTTATTGAAACTGAAATAATTTTATTTAATTTAGATATTAAATCAATCAGAGTGTTAGATTTATAGCTAATGTTCCCTTTGAATTTAATTACTTTCAAATCAGTCAACAAGCACAAATGAGTAAACAATTTATCAGTTATATCCACATATGAAATACATAAATGTTGCAATTTTGGTAAATGTTTGCCAATATCTTGCACACAATTATCATTCAAATAGAAATCTTGAGCAGTATAACGACAATGAAATGCAAAATGTGTTAAACGCTTACATTTATCCAATGAATTAACACTGAACAGAAATTCTGTGTTTAATAATCCATAGATTTCCAAACGCTTTATACGCCAAAAGTTAGTATTAATTGTATACATGACCTCAAAAATATCCTGGTACTTATGTAAATTCAATGCCAACCGTTTGAGTCCACGACATTTGCGGCCAATTTGTGCCAAAAACGTAACACTAATTAAATCTTTTGAATCAAAACTACAAACCGTTAAATCAATCAAAGCCTGCATTTGCGACAAACCATTGATCAATACATTGATAGCCCGGTCATCGCATTTAGAGCTATCAATCACTACGTTAATAGATTTCAGACTACCTTTCCCTTGGCTTTGGGTAAACACCTCAAACTCATGCGAGTCTTCACTCGTATAAATGAAAGTAAATTTCTGGAGTCTTTCAAACAAAATCTCGTTTTTATCCCAAAATAGTTGTCTAATAGTTAGGACGTCTCCGCACGATATGAAATCCCTTTTCACGAGTTTTACGCATAGATTAATGAGCCGTAAGTCTGAGAAATGTGTGATTTTAGTGGACATCCAGGCGCTCATAGGTCGGTGACTAGTGTCGGCAATGCTTAACACACTGGACATCCCTTTCCGCCACTTCTGGTCGATGCGATCAAATATGGTCTCATCACTCGTGCGCACCAATTGGTGGCCATTCACAGGCATTGTAATGGCATTCAAAGGGTTGTGAAAGCAATGGGAAATCAATTCACGCATAGACTGCACACACGAGTCGTGATAATCTCGGACTTCAATGTACGCTAGATTCACACACTTATGTAGTATTGATTGAAAAACTTGTATATTTTTTCTGGATTTGTATATAATGTCGTGTAGTTTACAATTTTTGCTGATAATTAGCTCCGTATGTCTTGCGTATGAAAATCGCTGCCACTGTTTGGACAGACATTCACATCGGAAACAGTCCTCCAGTGATAGGTAACTCAGTATAACATCACACAAGTCGTCGCCAAACCTATCAAAACTATTTTTATTATACATTTCTTGCAAATAAATTTGATATTATTAATTAATTAACAAGTGAAAATAATTTAATTTGTAACAGGTTTTAAGGTGATATTTATTTTAATGTAAAAGTCATGTTGTTTATAATAATATTTTTTGAAACAGCAACATAGCGGACATTATTTTAATAATTTCTATGTTGTTGTAAATTACACAGCAGATTACAATTTAATCATTAAATGTATGTACAGTTTATTTGCTTATTTCAAGGACTACATGTGCACATGAGCAATTTAACTATACTGTACACATCGGTAAGTCATAACACTATTACATACTTATATTACATAATAAGAAATATAAGGACATATAAAGTGAATACAGGTATGTGGTATAGAATTCAGTCTTAAACAATATCTTGATAACCATAAAGTCGCACATATGACTGAAAACTTTTGACAGTGAAAAGTCATTTGTATGTAATTATACAAACTGTAACAAAACTTATAAATTCCTACGAAGTCTCATTACAGTAAACACCAAAAAATACATATAAATTTAACAAAACAAAAACCCAGTGGTCAATGAAAAAAGGACAGTTATGTTACCAAGTTTGAGTGTTATTATAGTTGCTGTGACAAATGGTTTGCCACTAAATGTGAGCCAGCATATATCACGTAAATTGTGTTCATTAGCAGATTAAGTAATTTAAATACATATATTATGCAAACTTTTAATTATTTTTAACTCAAGTTAGCCGATGAGAGTAATAATGAACTTGCTTACATTAAAATAATACTTGCTAGTAAGCAATATTAAAGAAATATTAAAAATGATAAACGTTAATTATTTGTGGACTTAACTAGTAAACATAAATTGAAACAATATTAAATAACAATTAACCTGTTTCAAATATAAAACAAAACAATAACTTTAATCAATATTCATGTGTTGCTTGGATACTGATTACTGTGTAATGAAAACATTTCGCTAAGAAATCGTTGAAGAGTTAGAAACAAAGCTTTTTCATTGAATATGTCTTCAATAAAATGTTTGATTATATCATTGAAGACATTGAGACCAGAAGTGGAGGACTATTGGCTGGAAGTGAGCGCTGATGTGAACACTGTATCCGATCTGAAGTCCACTGTTTTGGACACAAATGGCTTTATATTGAGTGCCGAAGACATTGACCTCTATTTGGATGGAGTGTTACTCAGAGATGAGACACGAGTTAATAGTAATGTGTTTACCGATGGAGAGAGCATTGAAGTCAAAGGGAAAAGGGGTCGACATGTGGTGGACACCTGTAGTTCAGGCAGTGTTGAGAAACACTGTAAATCTATATATCCGTAAGTTTTATACAAAATCATTATCAAACTAACCTTTCAACCACTTGCGTGCAAAACTATTTTCATAATGTGTTACAATAGGTTTTGCATAAAAAACTTCAATAGAAAACTAAAAACTTAAATATAATAAGTTATTTATTTTTATTTTTTATTTTTATTTATGTTTGATTGAAATAAATTAATTCATATAATATTATTATTTACCAGGGATAAGGATACTAGTGAATCAACTCATAGACACATTGCAGTTGACGATATCGAGGCAATAGATGTTTTTGTGGAAAGCCATGACTTGACCACAACCTCCAGTATCTCTCACGATGATGAACTATTCCAGTGATGAACGAGAATATAGGGAATCGATGGCATCGAAAGCAAGATATAATCAGCGGTCAAGAAGTATGGGCACAAAGTCCACAATAAATTATTGCGAAACTGATGGCAATAGTGATGACAATCACACCGACAGCTCAGACACCGAGATATATGATGACTGGCACTCAGATCCAGGCAAACACACCACAAATCATGATAAGAGAGTGGCGTCTAATGAACTGAATTGCATCCAAAAATCAGACCTAGTATCAAATCAAAGCACAGATTTATGCAAAAAGCAATTTGTTTGTGGTTATGACAATTGCGGTAAATCTTTTACACAATACACAAACCTTTATCGACACAAAAAATGTCTACATTTTCATGAAAAGCAATTTGTTTGTGATTACAATAATTGCGGCAAAAAGTTCAATAGAAGTGATAACTATGTTTTACACAAACAATACACGCATTTGTATGCAATAAGGCCATTTGTATGTGATTACAACAATTGTGGCAAAGGGTTTACCCAGAAATCACACTTAACAGATCATAAGCGCACTCATACGGGTGAAAAGCCATACGTTTGCAATCGTGAAGATTGTAGCTACAAATATGCGACTAATCGGGGTCTTATTAGGCACACTAAACTCAAACACTTGGGTCTTATGAGATATTATTGCACTTATGAGGGTTGCAGCAAATATTTTACCAGAATAGGTGATGTAGATGGTGATAAACGTGCCGTACATTTGAGTGAAAAGTCATTTGTTTGCAATTACCCGGGTTGCGGTAAATATTTCTCTCAACAAGCAAACATGTATAAACACAACCGGGTCATTCATATGGGATTTGATTTAAAAAATCTCATTCAATACAAACCTCGGACGATATAAACGAATTGTACATTTGATTGAAAAGCCATTGATAAGTATATAAAGATTGTTGTCAAGTTTGGATTTAAATTATGACCTACTGATACAAAAGAAAAGTCATCTAGGTATTAAACAGTGTAAGTGCCCTAATAGTTTGTTTCAGTTTACAAAAGTTTACTGTAAAGTGCACAGCAAGGTTAAAACATTTAAATATTTTGATATACAGTACTGTTGGCGCAAAAAAATAAGCTAGCTTTTGGTTTAATTGACAATAGAAACACTGTACACTAAAGTATGTATAGAAAAAATATATCACAAATTAATAAAAGTAAATGAGATACTTAAATAAACTACTTTTATAATCATTATAAACATTACTATTATAATAAATATTAATTATATGGTTTAACATTAAATAACTGTAGCTTGCTAATTTTAGCAACAATTACATTATATTAAGAATTTTTAGCTTAATTAAGTGCTTTTTTTACATGAATTCAATTTATTTTATTTAAAATTTAATAAATGGTAACATTTTTAATTGATTGAACGAAAAAATATAGCGGACCAAGATCAAATTGAAAAGCTGGAAATTTTAAGTCATCACCGTATAACTCTTGATTATAATAGGGACCCTCGCCTAATGTGACCTGGACATAATCGCCAAATATGTCCCGCGTATTGAGACTATCAATGAGCCAGGCAAAACAATTACTTTGATTCCAGTCGTTCATTGTTTTGCACCATAGTTGGTTAATATTTTTCTACAAGGTATAGTTAATTTGATTTAATTTAATTCTTATTAAGTGTAAATACCAAACCCAAATAGATCTAAACTCCAATAACTAACTGACCATTAAATATATGTTTTATTTGATGAGTGGAATAGATGTCTTAACTTAACCTAAATAAAATTATGTCAACTGACCATTGGTCAGTTAGTTATTTAAGCTAAACTTAAATGTTATGTTTTAAGGCCTTTTATGTTTTAAGCCTTTCCACTTTAGGCCTTTTCATTGAGTCCAAATTTATAATTATTAATTAATTTTTTAAATGTAATATACATTATTATAATTTTAAAACGGAATTTATTAATCATTTCATTTATGAAAAAATATTTATATATAAGGACTTTGTGTGTGAATTTTTAGTTAATTTTTAATAACTTATATATTAGTACCGGAGAAATAGTCTTTCAGATGATAATTTTAAAACCAGCCCTAATTATAATCCAGGTCATTCACTAAGAGATTAGCAATAAACTTATAAAATTCTTAATATGTGAAATCCATTAAATTAATCATGTAGTAAAATAAAAAGTTTATTAATTAAACAAGGTTATTCTTAAACATATTCATATTAAACTTTTGAAAAACATTAATATAATGAAGAAAGACTTTTTAAACATTACTAATTTATCTATTTTTGTAAATTAATTTTTATTTTACAATATTATATTATTCTAATATATTTTACACATTCATATTAGCATAAGTTTATTGTAAATCTCTTAGTGAATGTCCTTGATTATATTTAGGGCAGGTTTTCAAATTATCATCTGAAAGACTATTTCTCCGGTACTAACTTATATATAACGTATATATTTTAAAACAAATCTAGTTAGTTGTTTTAAATTATTTAATTTGAACAAGTAAATTTTAAAATTTAAATTTAATTAATTTTATTTGACAAATTTTAAGAATTAGCAAATTCAATTGCTAACAGGCTTTTCAACAGCAATAATATTAAACGGGCCCAGGGTGAATTCAAATATAGCCACGTCATACATATTACCAAATGGTGCCATTGTGGCACGCTCAGTTAGGATCACCTGATTTATCTCGGATACTCCGCTAAAAGAATAAAGTTCCTCGCTGATTTTTTCGTAACACGCGTTATGATTAGCCAAATCTTGTTTGTAACTTAATTTAGCCAGGCACTTATCTGAATCAAATTTTTCAGTGACTTCCATAAATTTTTGTACAATCTTGCCCATGTCACTATACACTTGAGCTATTTTCATTTTGTCTTGCGATTTGACCAGGGTGGCTCCTGATGATCTGGCTAATTTTATGTTTTTCATTGTGCGCTGTTTAAATAAATTTATAAAAATTATTAATTATTTATTAAAATTAAATCAATGATCCTAAAAATATAGTTATGTTATATAGTTAATTCTATAATAGTGGGTAGGGGAAACATTATTTTGTGTGGTTACTATGTAAATTACACTGAAAATAAAATACATGTAACATATCTAAAAAGTCTAAATTTACCTCTTTCGCATTTCCGGCAATTGGATTATACAGCGATATCTGAATATCGTTGTATTTAAATATAATACACTTGTACTTGATATCATAGTAACTGGTGTATAATTCAACATTGTTACTTATATTACCAGTTACAATTTGACCGATAAATGATTGCCCAAACTCATTATTAATACCGTCAACCAATTTAAAAATGATATCATGTGTATCAGTTTCATTTTTCAAAAGCTGTTTGACCAGGGTTGTAGCGTATTGTTCATGAACTGGGTCATGTAAATTTGACGCGACTTTAACTTCAATATCTTCCGATATCGAAAAGTCAACTAGAATTAATAAACTTGCCAATATTAATAGTTGATTCATTTTTATTAATTAATATTTTAACTAGTATTGTTTCAAAATTTTAAAATAAAATATAACTTAATTTATTTTAATAATTTTAATTGTAATGTTCACCAGTTTATATAGGTAATTTTGTTTTATGTATATCATAGTTATACGAAAGATGATTAGATTATTTAATTGTCTGATTAAAGATACTTTAAATTTTTAGATATAGTTTATAAATATGGGTTATTCACTAAATGCGTAAATAATTGACTAAAGTATAATGTTACTATTAAGTGAACTTGCAAAATACTAAATTAATTATACAATAGTCAATTGGTATGTAATATTTTAAGTTGTAATAATATTTTAATATTATTAGCAAAATATTAAATAATTTAATTACAAAATATTTGAAACGCATTTTGTGAAAATCCCTTATCATATTAAACTTTGTTTAAGACTTTGTGTAATATTTTGTAGAATATAATCCTTATTACGATTAATTATTAATATACTTGTTACACAATGTGCTTGCTACACAATATACTTGTTACATTTGTAGTACAAAATCACAAATGAACTTTTTATACTTAATGAGATACTGTATATAATATATAATTTATTAAATATAATATAAAATATAATTTAATCTCTAATCATTAGAGTCTAATGTATTTTTAAGATTAAAATGTGATTTCAACTATAATTCCTAACAAACTCTTAAGTATTTTGTTTAACATTATTATGAAATTATATCAAATAATTTCATCACTAAAGAAATTAAATATTTAAATGTCAGTAAAAACATTAAATTAAGATTTTATTAAATATAATTTGTTTCAAAACATTGTTTACACATTACAGAGCATAAAAATTCACTAAATTCTGATAACTTGAAATTAATTTAATTGCTAGATAAACGCATATTTTTAAAACTATGTTTAAATAAACTTAATTTTATCAAGTAATTTCTAGAATAATATAAAATATAACGTTTGACAGTAAGCAAATGGGCTAGCAGGCTCATTTAACTGAACTGTACAATGTACAATTGCCCATGGCGTCACCAGATGTGGCTCCAGGTCCTGTATAAGTTAAACCACAGGCGCCGCCACTTTCAACGCACCCGTTGTCCCCACACCACGGGTTAGACCAGTCGGTGGGACAGCTGCACAATGGACTGTATGCCGTACATGGAGGAGGACCATGTT